GATAGCAGAATGATTAAAAATGTAGGTTCTGAAGTCAAGTGGCTTTACCACGTGGTAGCTTTATAGCATTGGGGAAGTTATCTAATACTATCTTCCACATCCATAAAATAAGGACACTAATAAATCCACCTCTGCAGGATTTTGCAAGGATTACATGTAGTAACATCAATATGGTGTTTAGCACACTACCTGAAAGATAGTAGATGTTTAATAAATGCTAGCTATTGCCATTGCTTCATTAATTCAACATATTTATTCATATCTACTATATACTATTAGGAAGTGAACAAGACAAAAAAAGTTTCTGCTTTAATGGAGCTTAAAAGTATTCCTTGCTCATTTTATCTTATTATTAAGGATAGTATTTCCTGAGGCACCTTCCTTTTGTATTTAAATATCAGGCTGTATAGAAGTGTGGATACAACTTAATCCCACCTTATTAGCCACTATCCAGTGCCATTTAATTGGTTTGAGAACTTAATCCATTTCCTTGGTTTGAAACCCCAACAATTAATAAATCTAGGAGAATTCTTTTATTTCCTACTGTATATTTAGTTCTTTACTGGGATTCTAAGCAAGTTGGAAAGATAGTCTTTATAACTATTTGAGGAGAAAAGACCAGAGTCCTGAGATTAAAAGTAAAAAAAAATAGTAAGTTAACTAAACATGTAATGCAGAGTAATACTACAGTAATTTACAAGAATATAAGATTGATGTGGCTCAGATAATTTAGGAACTTCATGGAAGAAGGTAAAAACTGAACTAAAATTTTGAAGGGTTTGTGTGGGTGGAAAGGATCAAGGGAAAGTTTTGGGAGTCTGCAATAATAAGTAAAATAATAAGTAAATAAATAAAACACATAAGTGGAAGTGAACACTAACATTTTGTTATATTCATTTTTATAATGTATAGACGGTAGGACACAATGGGGCCTCATAAAATGATTGTAGAAGTGGAGAGTCTTGGGAAACCAGGTTCGATGAGAGCCTACGTCAGGCTGGTGGTTGGAGAACAGAGAGGAGGGGACATAAAAGATACACCCAGTCTAATTCTCTTCCTCCACATGGGCTCATCAGTAGGGATGTCCTGTGTCATTGGAGTTCCCAAGAAATCTAGTTCTAACACAAATCCTTGAAACATTTTTGAAATTTATTTCTTGTTTTTTTTTTAAACTACCAGTATGATCTCATTCCATTTTTTCTTTCAGTTTTTGTAAAGTATGTAGTAACATCTAATCCCTCTTGGCATTTGCATTTTACACAACTGAATGTGGTAAGCAGATGTACATGATTGTCTAGTCTTAGCACAACATGTTGTCTTCTGCTTAGGAGTCTTAAAATAAACAAATCAAATAGATTTAATTCCTTTAGAGTGTTTTCCAGAAGATTTTGAGCCTTAAATTTTTATTTAACGATGATACATACACATCCTCTTTCACAAATATGAATGCACTGTATTTAATATGTAAATAGTCATTTGACCCAAAGATATTGGGTACACTTCAAATGCATGCCGGTTTATGATGTTACAAGAACATAAATCTCTTTGCAGTATTATTTCAGGATAAGGTTTATTCATTTGCCAGTTGGATGCATAATGTTCACAGAACAGCAGGTTAGGCATTGTGAAGAAATCATAAATGAACTAGATAGTTAATAATCTCAAGGAATCTATTATACAGTCTGGGGATGATAACATTTCATATATAATATCATAAGTAAGTGATGAACCGTTGGAAAGGTAAGGTGGAATACTGATTTGAGTCTCTAGGGATTAAATAGTGTGTTCCTCTTAAGAAGGTTTCCTGAAGGACGTGGAATTTTTTATTTACCTTAAAGATTCATTAAAAATTTGACAGGTAAACCACTTTAAATTTTGAGTGGTTTTCTCAACTGAAATAAATATGAGCAGAATTTTTTTTGTGTGTGTGGCTTCCCATCACTTAATAATATGCATTTTCTGTTGTCTGGGTATAATTAAATGGCAATAATTGGCAATAATTGCTATAAAGAAATATCGTATGAAATTATTCCTTTTCTATGTTCCATCAGAGAAATGCAAATTAAAACCACAGTGAGGTATCACCTTACACTGGTTAGGATGGCCACCATCCAAAAGACAACAACAAATGTTGGCGAGGATGTGGAGAAAGGGGAACCCTCCTACACTGCTGGTGGGAATGTAAACTAGTTCAACCATTGTGGAAAGCAGTATGGAGGTTCCTCAAAAAACTCAAAATAGAAATACCATTTGACCCAGGAATTCCACTCCTAGGAATTTACCCTAAGAATGCAGGAGCCCAGTTTGAAAAAGACAGATGCACCCCTATGTTTATAGCAGCACTATTTACAATAGCCAAGAAATGGAAGCGACCTAAATGTCCATCAGTAGATGAATGGATAAAGAAGATGTGGTACATATACACAATAGAATATTATTCAGCCATAAGAAGAAAACAAATCCTACCATTTGCAACAACATGGATGGAGCTAGAGGGTACTATGGCTCAGTGAAATAAGCCAGGTGGAGAAAGACAAGTAGCAAATGATTTCAGTCATTTGTGGAGAATAACAATGAAGCAAAACTGAAGGAACAAAACAGAAGCAGACTCACAGACTCCACGAAGGGACTAGTGTTTACCAAAGGGAAGGGGCTGGGGAGGGTGACTGGGGAAGGAGTGAGAAGGGGATTAAGGGGCTTTATAATTGGTATACATAATGTAGGGGGGGCATGGGGAAGACAGTATAGCAGAGAGAAGACAAGTAATGACTCTATAGCATCTTACTACATTGATGGACAGTGACTGTAATGGGATATGTGGGGGGGACTTGATAATGGGGGGAGTCTAGTAACCATAATGTTATTCAAGTAATTGTACATTAACAACATAAAAAGAAATTACTCTCTTTCTGAAAAAGCCCTCTAGTTTAAGAGCTGAATATAAGCTTTGCTTTTTTCCATTGAAGAGTTCCCTTTTACAACTCCAGATCCTGGGATACTACTGCCAAATTTTAAAATTCCAGAATGTACCTTTAACTACATTCACAGTAAAGTTCAATCAGATATAAGGCAGATCCACCAGAATTGCTATGTAGAGTTCAGTTGCTAAAATAACAAGGTGTCTTGTTACCAGTTGTACTGAATGTGAGGACAGCACAGAAAGTGAGCCAGAGCATCCAGGATTCCCTGTGGTTCACATGCCCTCCCCATTAGACTGTTTCCTAGGACTTGAGTTAAATTATTTCTCCCTGAGGCTGTTCTAGACTGTCCATGTCTTCTCTGGCCTCTGCCTGTACCCCCCACCCCGCCTATAGGTTGGATATTTGACTAAGTACAAGTTAGTCACCATGAAATCTTGGCGAAAAGGGTATGTTTGTCTTTTAAAGAGCTATCTACATCTACATGTTCAATGCAGCATTATTCATAATAGCTAAGACATTGGAAACAACCTAAGTGTCAATCAAGAATGGATAAAGAAAATGTGACACACACACACATGAATATTATTCAACCATAAAAAGAAGGAAACCTCACCTTTTGCAGCAGTGGATAGACATGGATGGCATTATGCTAAGTGAAATTAGAAGACAAATATTGTGTATTCTCACTTACATGCAGAATCTAGAAGAGCTAATCTCTTAGGAAGAGAGGGAAATGGTGGCTATAAGGTACTAGGGGAAGGAAGGGGAGGGCTAATGGGGAGATGCTGATCAAATGGGACAAACTCAGCTATAAGTTGAGTAAGTTCTAGGGATCTAATGTACAGCCTGGTAACTATAACAATACTGTATTATATACTTGAAAGTTGTTAAGAAAATAGATCTTAAATGTTACAACCACAAAAGAATTGGTAATTATGTGAGCAGATGGAGGTGTATCAAATCATCACATTGTAATTCATAAACTTAGATATGCCAATAATAACTCAGTAAAGCTGGGACAGGAGGGTGTGTGTGTGTGCAGGGGGGACATTTTGTCAAAACTTAATAATCTTGTGTTGGAAATGTTTTTCTCTGATCTGGATTGGTAGTCACTAGAGGGTGTAGATATATAAATTCACCAATTTGTACTCCTAAGTTCTGTGCATTTCATGTATTTCATATAATAATAAAAAAGTATAAAGATAATAAAAATTCATTATCTCTGCCATTGAAGTATTACCAATTTCGGTGTATCTTGGGAAAGTTTTGCAATGGTTTGTGCATTTTCAAGCATTTCAGAATAAATTTTCAGAATTTTTAGTGTTTCTTTTATATTCCTTTTAAAATTATTTTTCAATTAATTGAAATAATGTAATTGCCAATAATGGAAGATTAATTTTAACAACTGTTTGTACCTCTTCAAAACTGCAAACAGTTGAACAATAATTTGCCTGAAATACGCAAAAGGTTTTGAAACCAAAGAAGGCATGGACAGGGACAAGATTTCTGGGAAAAGAGGCAAAAATACTCGTTGAAAAGGCACCTTTTTGATGCTTTAGTAATTTCCAATATTTAGATTCCTGGAATTTGAAAAGATACTAAACCATTAATTTGACCCACATTGTCACATTTACCAACCTGCATCCACTCTCCTACTTTGGAGACAATTTGTAAGCCAGTCAACCCATTTTCCCACATGATGTCTGTAGCTTTTGGTTAAAATTCAGACTGAAGTCTAGCGGTAAGTAAACAGTGACTGGGATGATGTCAAAGAGACAAAAATAGAACTTAGAGTAAAAGCTTTACATTTAGGTGGGGTTGTCAAGGTACAAGCACCAAAAGAGAAAAACATTTCCTTCTAGGAGAAAGCTTTTGGGAAGAAAAATCAAATTTGATGCCATTAAATTATAGCGTTAAGTCTGAAAAGTCTAGGAACTGTAGAAAAATTAAATTTTATTTCCATCTCCCCAACTAACCCAGCCAGGTTCACCCTCTTGGATGGATTTACGGATAGGATGAAGAACAACATTGTATTACTTTTAAAGAAGGACATTTAGCATGATCTCTTTTTTGGAACAGGACAGCTGGGAAGTAGTGGAAGGACTAAGAGGAGAGATGAATTACACCCAGGAGCCACCAGTTCAGAAAGGATTTTTGCTTAAGAAGAGGAAATGGCCCTTGAAAGGCTGGCACAAGGTAAGATGCTGGCCTTGGCCTCACCTGTATTGGTACCCACCACCCCCGTCAGCACCCGGTTCTTAGGCACTTTTGTTTCATTTGAAATTGAAAGTTGGGCTCCAGGGAAGGATGGACATTTAAATGCAAGTCTTACTGAATTATACTTTATTTTCCACAGAGATTCTTCTATCTGGACAAAGGAATCTTGAAATATGCCAAGAGCCAAAGTGATGTAAGTCTTCCGATTAACTCAATATGCCGCTGAAGGATACTGAAGGGCTAATTACTGTTAGCTTATGAATGAGATTGTACACATATGGGATTGCATAATCATTCCTTCACAAGGAACAGAGGTGCCAGTCCCCCACTGGCTCAGCTCTGTCTGGATGCCATGTGGGCTCCGTCCACCCACCAGGTGGAGGTGTGAGGACCCCTCGCAACACCGGCTGGGTATCCAGGTATCTGTTCTGATGTTAGCTTGTGTTGAGGGGTTTCCTGGGTGGGGGAAGACATTTTTGCAGTGAGATAGCAGAACCAAAACAGGCAAATGGCTGCCCCAGTATTATAATGCTGAGGGATTTGGTAGAGAAGGCTTTTGAAGTTGATGTGAGGATCTCATCCCTGAGGGCTCGGAGTGATTGTTAGTCCCACTCCTTGTAGCAGTCCTTCTCTCACCTGGCACTTCTCTCCTCCTCTCTTCCTCTCCTTGCCACCTTGTAGGGTTAAGTATAGAAAACTTGGTATGATGCCTGACTCACAGTAGCCTACCTTAGCTTCCTGCCCCATTCCTCTTTCTAAATCACTTCCAGATGAATTTAGACACTGGAAACAAATTCCATGGGGGGCCCTGTAGTTGACAGGTGAATTGGGAATCAAGCCACGGAGCTTACTGTCTTGCCTCTTCACTCTCTTGCTTCCTCACTTATTGGCTGTCTAAACTGCTTAATACATAACCCTCACAGCTTAAATAAGATGATGCATGTACAGCACTTAATTCAGTACTGCTTCACACTGAGTGTCTGTTAAGTCATAGTTACTATGTTTACTACAAGTCATAGTTATTTTGTTTACTACTCAGTGGATGTTAAAGGTGAGTCTACTGGAAAGGAGTGTCAAGGATGTTTCCACTATTTTTAACACCGTGGATCTCAAATGGCCCTCTTCCTGCTTCTGCAGATAGAGAGAGAGAAGCTGCATGGCTGCATTGATGTTGGGCTCTCTGTGATGTCTGTGAAGAAGTCATCAAAATGCATCGACTTGGATACTGAAGAGCACATCTACCATCTGAAAGTGAGACTGCTTCCCAGCTGCTGTCCTGTTGCACAGAGTTCCTTTATACTGGGAAGGGACTGGCAGTTGTAGCACTTGCCTTTTGAATATTTCAAAATACCCAGCCAACATGTAGGCCTTTATTTTTTTTATTAAGGTATCATTGATATATAGTCTTATGAAGGTTTCACATGAAAAACATTGTGGTTACTCCATTCACCTATATTATCAAGTCCCCCCCATACCCTATTGAAGTCACTGTCCATCAGTATAGTAAAATCCATGTAGACCTTTATTATGAAAGTATTTCTAGTGGACGCTGTTGATATTTGGATGGGACAGTACATTGTGCAGGACTGTCTCTGTCACTGCTGAAGGTTTGCCCCCTTATCCCCTAAGTACCTCTTCCCTGTGACTGGGACAAAATCAATAGCAAAAAACTTCATGTATCCAAATAAGCCGCCCTCTTTCCCTAGGCAGTATCATCTTTAGTGAAGAATCATGTACTGAGGTTAAATTATGTTTCTTGAAATGCAGTATTTAATATTTAGTCTGTCATATAACTTTGGCCAATTTTATAGGGATTCCTTAAAATTCTCACATTACAGTGAAGGTCAGGAATTTTTCCCTGAAGTGTGGGCCTCCCAAGTTGTGACTACCATCTTCTGCCCACTATCCTGCAGGTGGTATAGATAGTTAAAATATGTTGTAAGAGCTTTGGAGATCCAAGATCTGGTCCAGATTTTGACTTGCCCACTTACTAGCTATGGGCCTTTGGCAAATTATTTAACAAAAGTCTCAGTTTTCTCACTTCCCACCCCAAATGGGAGTTGTTATCTTGTAGGGCTGCATGTAGAAAACTTGGCATAATGTCTGATCCATAGTATGCTCAGTAAGTTTAGAAGTTGTATGTAATTATTAGGTGGTATGCAAATTTTAGAAATTTAGAAAATTTTAAGACTCTATTCTTACTTGGGAAAGTTACTTGGAGTATTGAGAATGGGGGCTGAGATTTTGCAAAATAAAAGCATGAGATTATGAGCTCCATGTCTTCAGGTGTCCCTGCCTCCCAATGGCATGCATGTGGTGCTTAGGTAAATGCATGTGGTTGATGGCACAAGGCGGTCAAATCCATACTGTTTCCTAGTCTAAGCCCCTCTACCTGTGGGTGTAGCTAGTTAATTCTGTAAAGTGGGTGTCTCACCTTTGACATCATTGATGTGGGGGACCTAGTGAATTCTTTGCTTGTGGGGGCTTGTTCTGTGCATTGAAGGATGTTGAGCGGCATCCTGGGCCTCTACTCTCTAGATGTCAGAAAAAACCCCCCTTCAGTTTTGACAACCAAAAAATGTCTCCATACATGGCCAGCTGTCTCCTGGGGGGTAAAATCACTCCTGGTTGAGAACAACTAATGTGAACCAAAGGAGGGAGAACCTATAATCTTAAAAAAAATTTTTAAGAAAGAATATCCACCCCCTACCCTAATGGTCAGTTGCCTCTGGAATAGTTTAAATTATTTCTCTGTGTACTTACAATGACTCTTAGTTCTGTGTTTTGATATGGTTAGGAATAGGTTCTTGTTCATTCACTGTTCTAATTAATAGAATCAAAGTATTACTAATTCCTAATTCTTAAATAACTAGAATACCTTAAAATACAGTGAATACTTATACTGTGATAAACACAGTTTAATATTTCTCTGTGTTGGTTGACTTTATGTTCTGTTTGTGTTTTTTGTTCATTCTTTTGAATATCAGTTGTGACTCTTGACATAGGTATGTGTAGCTATCTGAGGGTTCTGGTTAATAGCCTCAGAATCAGACAGTTTTTAAATTTGGCTATCCAGTCTCATTCTCTTATAGATGAGGGTCTGGGCAGCAGGGAGGTTAAGTGGCTGTCCACCCATGGTCCTGTAACTACTTGAGGGGCTGGAGCAGAACTCTGGTCAGTTATTTAATAAAGTGCTTTCAGTCTTCTACCTTATTTAGCCAATAAAAAATAAGTCCAGATGAATGGTTTGGGGGCACTGATTTTTAAGGGTCTCTGAGACTAGATCAGTACAAAGGATGACATAAGATTCCTGTAAAATTCCTGTTAACCATGTCTGGAAAATTAAATACATTTCAAGAACAGACTTTAGGGGGAGACAAATAGATATGGGTCTGTTTGTATTGTTTCTTCCTGCAAATGACACATTCAGTAGTACCCAAAGGGGTGTAAGTTTGTGTTACTTATAATAAACACAACAAACATAAGAGCCAACCTAGCAATTCCTAAATGAGTGATGCTGTTGACATTCATTCACATCCTTGCTCTCAGCAGTGGCCTTAGTAAAGATTTTAAAAGAATTGATCTGGATTTTTCTTCTTGGAAGTTAACCTACCAAGCATCCTTTTGGGTTTTTTTAAATTGCTGCTTCATGAGTCTCTTTGTCTTAATATATAGGTATTTATCATTTTTCATTTTGTAAATGTTAATACACCCTCATACACACAAAAAATACTATTAAGAAATACCTAGTACATAGATATTTGTTATATTCCTTTTAGTACTTCTATGAACATTTAAGATGTTTAATAATAAAAGTTTGTAGTTATAAACATTATTCTTCATGGAAATTAGACTGATAAATACTCATTTATGGAGGGTCTGGCTAGATGTTTACATATGTGTGTTTGAAAAACCCTAGAAATCATCAATAACACTTTATCAGATTTGTTTCTGTTTCTGAGAGCAGGAAAAATGTTCTTTGAACTAACCTTCGCATTTATTAACATATATTCTTCAGCAGTGTGTTGTCAAAGATTAACAAGGTTAAATATTTTAGGAAGAATCTATGTATTCATTTCAGTTCAGAGAAGACTGATCTGAAAAGGAGATTATAAAACAGTTTATAAAGAAAGATGTTGCTAATATTTTCAGTAGGGATCGGAGAAGCTGGGACAAGAGAACCTGGAAGAGCTGGAAGAGACAGATAAATAAAAATTACAATTTATTTGTTATTTAATAGACCAGGTGCTGTTTTGCTTTCTTAATAATAGCATAACAGTGGGACCCTTTTTTCAAGAAAGTCTAAATATGTAGTTTATGAAGACCATTGTTACTCTTCATTTCCTCCTCAAACTTGCTCTCAGAGACCACATAAATGTAAACTAAGTCAATAAGCTTGTATTTCTACATGGGCCAGTGTGAAAAGAGAGGGTATCAGGAGTGACCTCAGTTTGATGAATAATTGTTCCTTTCATTGAGTAACACTCATTTCCTTCTTTCAATGTAACACAATTTAGGTAAAGTCAGAAGAAGTCTTTGATGAGTGGGTATCCAAACTTCGCCACCACAGAATGTATCGTCAGAATGAAATCGCCATGTTTCCACATGAAGTTAATCACTTTTTCTCAGGAGCTACTGTCACAGACTCTATGTCTGGGGTCTTGGACTCAGTATCAAGTAGGAAGGTAATAGTTTGCCAAAGGTGAATCTAAGAGAAGGGAATGGCTTTGTGTGTGGGAGTCCCATCTGGAGGACAGTGCGGAAGGAAAGGTTTGTGGGGAGGAGCAGGGTAAGCTTGAGCTGGTATTTAATAATCTGCCCAGTCAGTCAGAACCAGGGCCAGGAGAGCATCTGTTGTCACTGGGAGTAACTGAAGAAGAGCACATAAGGAGGAATTTAATTGCCCTAAGGGCTCCAGCTTTCTCTTAACCACTTCATCTTTGGTTTTCTTATCTGGTGGTAAAGTACAGTAGATATGCTTAATAGCCATACAGGATCACAAAATTTCCCAACATTTACATCATGATTTTGGTATAATTATCATTTGACAGAAGAAGAAATTAAGGACTGCCGTCCAGTCCTAGCATGGTGTGGGCAAGTTCGGGTGACAACCAGAGCTTAGATTCTCCAATAGAGTGCTTTGCCAGAAGCTTCTTTCCGATTACAGGCAGATGGCTTCTATTAGTGGCTAACCTACTTTGTTATCCTTTACCCTAAAGTGTTCCCACTGGGATGTATTTTCATTTGTAATGTGCTTTTGTTGTCTGTGTAACAGCATAGCAGTTTATCAAAGCAAAATTCATTTCAAACTGGAAGCAATTTACCATTTTCTTGTGGTGGTGAGACCCGAGTTCCATTCTGGTTACAGTCTTCAGAGGACATGGAAAAATGCTCAAAAGGTAGTGACTTGAAACCTCTGCTTCTCCCTGACCTGGCTTTTAGATATTACTGGTTTAGTATTTACACCTCAGATGAATTTATACCCTTCCTCATCACTTGCCTGCATTTCCTTTCATATTTTCTTTATTAAGTTTGCACTTGTGATTGACAAAATACACCTCCCTTGCAGAGCTCTGTGTCTTTACCTGGTATGTATGCAGACAGATTTCCTTTTCTGTTTACATTTTGACACCTGATTTCCTGATGGGCCTACTAAGTCACAGGGGTGGGGTCTGCACAGCTCTCTATTTTTGTTAAATGCCCAAAATATTTCTGATGCACATGCTAGGCTGAGAATCACTGTTCCAGAGGTGATTGGGTGAACCAAATGAACATCTCCACAAAACAGGTGTTCTCTACTCTGACTGCACATTACATCTACCAAGAGAGCCATTAAAATACAAGAGTACCCATGCCCAGTCTTCTGTCCAGAAGAATCTCTTTAAATTGGTCTGGAATGGGACCCTGGCATCATTAATTTTCCAGACTTCTCCAAGTTGTTCTTATAAGGAGCCAGGGTTGAGAACTTTTGCCATAAAGAAACCAGTGTTCTCAACCTTCATTAGCTAAGACTCACCCAGGGAACTAAAACCCAAAAAAGTCAACAGTGGGATTGGGGTATTTTGATTTAATCATTTTAGGATGGCACTTGGACATAAGTAATCTTTTAAGATTTCTCCAGTTGAGTTTTAAAATATAGCCATAATTGAGAACTATTACTAGAGAAAGAAGCCAGGTGGTGGCCTTGAAAATTACATTTTCTCCAATTGAATGCAGATATTTTCTGCCTATAGCTTCAGAGAGGTTTGCTTTCCCAGTAAACATCATGAGCTTCCCTGAGTGACAGTTTGGGACAGTAGTCCTTGAAGTGTTGTCTCTGGACCAGCAGCTGTGGCTTGGCCTGTAACGTATTAGAAATGCAAATTCTCAGACCCAACCCAGACAGACTGAATCAGAAACTGGTGGTGGATCCCAACAGTCTGTGGTTTACCAAGTTCTCTAGGTGATTCTGATGATAGCAAAGTTTGAGAGCCACTATCTTAAGGCATTTGACTCTCAATTCCTCAGCAGAAATAGCCACCATCATCCAATGAGTAGCAGATTAAGAACCATCTTCTGAGTGACTGAGGAACCGGTCTGAGAATACTTTAGGTCCTCTCAGGTCAGTCTGTGTAGGATGATCGTGGTCTCTTGTAGGTCTGTAGTCGATAAAGTAATCCTTAGAGACCAATGCAGCTTTCATTTTAGTTTCATTCATTTAACTTGGGAGGGGTCCTTATAAGTGGATAGTGACACCTGGTTATTGCAATATTAGAAATGATGATGAAAGTGATGATAGCTATTTTATTTAGTGCTTATAATGTGTCAGCACACTAAAACATGTTGTATATATTAACGCATTTAACTCACAACTTGTCTGTGAGGTAGCTGTATAAATAATTTCCACTTTCCAGATGACATGACTGAGACACAGAAGTTATGTAATATGCTGAAGATTCACAATTCATTAACTGTAAACAACCCAAAGGTGTCTGGTTCTCCAGATCAATGCCCTTAACTACAGAAGTCTACAGCTTCTCCTGTAAAAGGGGGAGTAAAGCATCTCATCCTTACAGATATAAATCAAATAGTACAGACAAATAAGAAAAGTAACCAGCACCAGCATAGTGAAGCCCGAGTGCTGAGACAAGTGCTTATGAATCCTCCTTGTGCCTTTCTCCCACAGACCTGGAACACTGTCATGCCTACCTGGTGGAAATGAGCCAGCTTCTACAAAGTATGGATGTCCTGCATAGGACATACTCGGCGCCAGCTATCAATGCCATCCAGGTTAGCCAGGTCCCTCTCCTGTTTGCTTTCTGGTGTTCTGCTTGCCTCTCTCCTCCCCAGACCTCAATTAAAATTAACAGTGGTATGTTGTCTGGTCAGTTGCTTCAGCCACATTTAAGGGATGGAGGCAGTTGCTTGGCTGTGCATGTTTCCCTATTGGTTTGGTGGACCTTACTGTCTGTACTCTTTCCCATTTTGAAACAAGGGTGGAGCTTTTGAAAGTCCTAAAAAGGAAAAAAGATCACACAGGAGGTGGCGGTCCCGGGCTATTGGCAAAGATGCTAAAGGAACGCTGCAGGTAACCATCGCTTCTCCCACTAGCCTGGTTTCTTCATTGGCCCTGCTGTCCCTGCCACCTGTGGGGGGTTACTTGGTCTCAAATAGAAGAGACAAGTGAATTTTCTATAGTTATTGTCTCAAATAACCTGTGTAGAGAGATGAACTCAATCACTTAGATTTTCAGGCTACTAGAATAAGCATGTAATAGATATTGGCTAAGGGAAAATGGCACAAGGTTGGAGGGACTGCAGCAGTTTCTAGGTCTTTGGTTTCTCCCTATTTAATGCTTAGCCTGCCTGCCCCCTTCTTGCTTGGATATGCAGTCTGCCCACCTCTTCTGCTGCTTCTCAGAGGATTCATCATCCTTCAGAGCCCACTGCTGGCATGGGAGCAGGACATTGTGCAGACTCTTTTTTGCCTCTTGTCTCCAATCTCCCAATCCTGCATGAGAGGTTCACTGTGTCACACTATTCACTGACTTTCCCAATGCACAGCTAAGCCAGTGGCCAAGTTTTGTAGCTTGGCCATTGCATATTAAATTGTGACACTGTTAGGGTCAAAACAAATCGGAAACTTATGGATAAGTCATCTGCTGTTCTGTTGTATACTTTTTGGTTCAAAGCACTTTATGGATTGAACTTAAATACTTTCAAAGTAAAGAGTGATTTACATACAAACATGTGAGAAGTTAGTTCATTTTGTAGAAGCATAGGTGCAAATAAAGAAAATATTTTTAAAAACTATCCGCTATTAACAATCTACATACTGGTGATTATTGCCAGGAGAAAGAAATTGAGTATAAAGGAGAAAGAGACTGGCACCTTTAGCTGTCATTTTCAACCTATAGCTTAATGCTTCTATCTTTTCCAAAAGAATATGTGATTTCTCACCCATTTTTATTTTGTGAGAAGCCAGGGAAAGTTGCTGTAGAAAGTGCTTTCCTGAGTTTTCACTTATTTTTCTTATCACTCAGTAGAAAGACTTTCCTATAAAGTATTCTTCTCTTACTACTTCCCAATCTTAGAAACAAATAAATAGTCTAAGCAACTTGTATCTAAAAAGAAATATTTCCTTTTGATATAACTTCAGGTTCCTAAACCTTTTTCTGGCCCAGTAAGACTGCATGCCTCCAATCCTAATTTGTCAACACTAGATTTTGGAGAAGAGAAAAGTTATTCAGATGGCTCTGAAACCTCATCAGAGTTTTCTAAAATGCAAGAAGATCTTTGTCATATTGCCCATAAAGGTAAGTGAGTTTTCTTTCTTCCTAATGTGTTTGATGAAAATGTTAAATGCATGTTGGAATGTGAGATGTCCTTGGAGAGAGAATCTTCGTTGGTTCATTTTCTGTTCTACTAGGATTTTGGACAGCCTGATTTTTATTTTATTTCCCTGCTAGTATAGAGCATATTGGCAAGATGTTTCCTTTGAACCCCTTAGGGGAGATATTGAGAGCATTAAGTATACTTTAAAAGCTGAGAAATTAATATACTGCTAATAGAAACGTAAAGTGGCACTTTTCTGGAGGGCAATATGACATGATGTTTCAACTTTAAAAAAATCTATATATCCAGCAATTCCACTTTGAAGAACTCATTCATGGGCATTAATTTAAAATTTATCCTAATAAAGATATTCATTGTAGCATGTTTATCTTATCAAAAATTAGAAATAAATGTTCAGCATCATAATCCTTTGAGGAAATGCAGATTAAAGCCATGATGAGATGTTACTGTATCCTACTAAAATAACTTTAAAAATTTTTACAGTACCAAATGCTGGTGAGGATACAGAAAATCGGTGTCTCATACATTGCTGGTGGTAATGCAAGATGGCACAGCCATTCATGACAATAATTCACTAGTTTTATATAAAACTAACCATGTACTTACCATGCAGCCAAATGTTCACATTCCTGGGCATTTATCTCAAAGAAATATAGACTTAAGTCCACACAGAAACCTATACAGAATTGTTCAGAGCAGGTTTATTTGTATTAGCCAAAGACTGGAATAACCCAAAAGTCCTTCAACAGATGCATAATTAAGCAAACTATGAGGCATCCATGCAATGGAATATAGTTCAGCAGTAAAAAGTAACAAATTACAGATAGACACAGCAACTTGGATGGATCTCTAGGACATTATGCTGAGTGAAAATAGTCAATCTCAAAAATTTGCCTATTATATGATTCCACTTAGGAACACTTGAAGCAATACAATTATAGAGATAGAGAAGAGATCAGTGGTTGACAGGGGTTAGGGACAGGAGGGAGGGAAAGAGGATGAATATTGATGTAATTATAAAGGGGTAGCAAGAGGAATCTAGGTGAAGATAGAAAGTTCTGTATCCTGATTGTAATAGTGGTTCCATGAATCTACACATGTGATAAAAGTGCATTGACCTGTACTTATACCCATATACAGAAATGAGAGAATGGAAAATTAGTGAAGTCTGATTAAGAGCTGTAGATTATTCCAGTATCAATTTCCTGGTTTTGATACTGTACTATAATAAACTAGTGAAGTCTGAATAAGAGCTGTAGATTATGCCAGTATCAATTTCCTGGTTTTGATATTGTACTACTGTAGTTATGTAACATGCTGCCACTGGGGGAACTGGATACAGGGTTCCCAGGACTTCTTTGTATTGTTTTTGCAACTTTCTGTGAACTTATGATTTAAAAATAAACTTAAAAAAAATTAGAAATAACCTAATGCTCAGCAATAGGAGGATTGGATTTTTAAAAAATGCAGTATAATGATATAATAGAATACTCAATAGCCACAGTAATATAAATGGCTACCTTATGTTAGCACATAGTTATTGTATCACATATGCACCAGGCTAAGCACTTGACATGCACTATTTCATTTCAGTCTAGCTGCAACCTACGGAGGAGGTATTACTGTAGTCACCACTGCACAGATAGGAAACCTGAGACTTGACTCCTACCCTGCCTGCCCCCAGAGTCTGTGGTCCTCACTGGCTGTCTCACTGCCTTTACAGGTGGGGTGGCCAGAGTTATGCAAAGATGTTAAGAACATATCATTGAGTAAAAATAAAGGTCATAAAATGTTGGTTGATCCCACTTTTATGGAAAAAATAAACTACATAAATCTGGCATATATAGGCACACTAAAAAGTCTGAAAGGATATATACTGGCATTTTAATGATCGAGGCTGCAGTTACAGAACTTATTATCTTCTTTCTCTTATCTTTAAAAAAATGTCATACATTTACCATTTTTTTTAAAGGAGAAAATGGGTTTAAAATTGCTAAACAAGAGGGCAGTGCTTGAAATGGGAGGACGGAAGCTATACCCTCTGTTTCCTTTTTCTCCTAGCCCTGTGATTTTCATCCTTCACATTATTGATTCTTTCAATCTCTTTTCTCAGACCCTACAAACCTAATACATGTTGGTTATGAGGAAACAATTTCATGCTCATTATAAATTCCCACCTCAAACTCTTGTCCACATTACTGTTACTCCCATCTGTAAAATGGGAGGAATTACCCGCCCCATCCCTTCAAAGCTCTTCCTACCCCCACCTCATCCTCCATGTGTTCTTGAATATTCAAGGAGCAGTTGTAATTAGGGCATTGCATTTTGTGGGAGGAAATTCCAGTAAAACACCATTGTTTTTTAGTAATATGAACTGTCTTTTTAAAAATGAGAAGCTAATGCCTCCCTGCAGAAGGAAAATACCTGAATAGCATCTCCATTGCACATGCTGCTTCCTCAGCAGGACAGAGGTTGCCATATTAGGCTGATCCATTGATCCCATCCCTCCCCTGCAGAGGGCTCAACCTTGTGAAAGTCTATAATGTGCCTCAGATAGGTGGGTTTTTTTTCAGGCTTTGTTGAAGACAGCTGGGTGCAGAGCTGCCACATACCTAGACTAGGTCAGAGTATGTGTTTCCAGAAAGATCCAGGTGCTCTTCCTCAGCAACAGCCTGTGCCCCTTGGGTTTACAGACAAAGAATGCCACAGGAGCCTAACAAGCTATGTTTCATTCCTGTGGCTTAAAGTACGCTTGCAGAGACTGAAGGATCTCTGGGAGTCCCTTTTACACAGGCTGTAAATCAGAGCTTGATGAAATAAAGACAGTTCTCAGGTTTGCCCTAACTCCGGTGACCTTGCATGCCTTCTTACTTCCATACATTCAAACTTGAAGCAACTTGACCTTTCTTCATGTGTAAGCTTGATTTTGTTGCTGATAGTTCTTATTGTACTCTGACTATATCACTGATTTACTGACTGATTTTGGAGCAAGTGAACCAAAGCAGGAATTTCACTGATACTGTAAGATAGTCTTTATTATCTACTTTTTCTGCAGTGTATTTAATAAATCAAAATTCTCTGTTTTTTTGTAGAAGTTAGAACATATGGTAGACAATCAATATATACCCATCATAGTAGAAAAAGTTCTTATTTATTATAGATTGTATATTTGATTTTTATAGCATATCATTGAAGTAATTCTCATTGGTTCATGTGTCTGGCTTTGTGTGTATGTTGACATGCATGTGAGCAAACAGAGATGCAAAATGTACTAAAACTTAGAAGTTTTTAAGTAATTTACATTGCACATATCAGTATATTTCCCAAAATATACTTTATGGAACACTTTAACCAAAAAATGCTTTAAAAAGCAAAAGAATTCCAGGATTAATTATATTTGGAAAACACTGCTGACTGTGGTGCTCTTGTATATACAAAAGAGACAGGAAATATTAAGGACCCTGAGAGGTCCTGAAGAAAAGTCTATTAGCTTTAACTCAGTGATTTTCACTGTTATTTGGGAAACTTTCTTCCTCTTCCCCAATAGCTATTAATACCTTGGAACTAACTTTCCTGAGAAACGTACTACAGGAAACTTGCAAATAATAAACATTTTTGGAGAGCTAACCCTCTCTGTTGACTGAATCAGAAGACAGGCATTCCAGGCCACTTCTGTTACTGACTATGGAATTTTGATTTCATCAGTTAGCTTATCTGGGCTTGAGTTGCCTCCTCTGTTAAATGTCCTAAAGTAGTTCTGATTCTCTTGAGTCTCAAATTCTGTAATTAGTTTCTATGATTTATTATTTTGTACTGAGTAGAAGGAATTCATAGTGCTGCTCATTGTTACAAGCAGGTTTTATGAGTGTTCTATTTTGTAGCAGAAACAGAAATGAGTTGAATATAGAGAGCAGTTTTAGGGTGAAAGAGCAAGGAATAGGGTAAGACCAGAGACAAGGTGCTCCAAATGAAAGTAGATATTATGTTCTACCTTGGAAAGAAAAAAAATGAGGTTTCATGATGGTTATGCTGCCACGTCCTGTAGGTATTTTCAGTGAGGGAAATCCTCATTTATAAATGTAAAGGTTAAAAACAAAACAAAATTACTACATCAAACTAAAAACCTTCTGTGCAGCAAAGGAAACTATCAACAAAACCAGCAATCTGCTGTATGGAAGATATATTTGCAAATGATATACCTGATAAGGGGCTAATATCCAAAAAATATAAAGAACCCATTTAACTCAACACCAAAATATCCCCAAATAGTCTGATGAAAAAATGGGCAGAAGTCCTAAATAGACATTTTTCCAAAGACATACAGATGGGAAACAGACCCTTGAATAGAGAGAGGGTCAGCATCAATTATCATTAGGAAGTACCAATCAAAACCATAGTGAAATATCACATCACACCAGTCAGAATAGTTAATATCAAGAAGACAAGAAATAAAAAGGTGGTGAGAATGTGGAGAAAAGGGAACCCTTCCTTGTACACTGCTGGTGGGATTGCAAATAGTGCAGCCACTATGGACGAAAATATTGGAGGTTTCTCAAAAAACTAAAAATAGAAATCCCATATGACCCAAGATTCTACTGGGAATTTACCCCAAAACAACAAAATCACTAATTTGAAGATGTACATGCATTTCTACATTTATTGCAATATTATTTACAAAAGCAAATATATGGAAACAACCTTTATGCCATCAACAGGTAAATGGATTAAGAAGACGTGGTACATATACACAATGGAATATGTAACTCCGGGGAGAGGAAATCCTGGGGCAAAATACCTCTAAAAACCGAAATTAGTCAAAGGGAGAAATAAAGTTTAAAACCCGTTTATTACTTACAAACTGCAGTCTAGTGCCATCTCTCTCCCCTGCTCAGGAAGAAGCAAGCAAGGAAGCCAGCCCCTCCCCTTAACTTCTCAGGTTCAGACATGCCCTCGGTTGCCC